CTGTCATCTCTACAAACTTCATTAAGGTGTTTAAGTATTTATCTCACTATGCATACAATATAAAAAATAGAATGATTGAGTTTCAGCTTATTTTACATGTTGTTTATGGAGAGAAGAATAACAAAATAAACGATATTAAATGGAAGGATAAGCACAACGATAGATGAAACAAATGAAAAAAAAAAATGATTTTAAAAGGAAAGAATAAGATTATATTATATAAGAGAAACGTTATGATTTTTACCATTAAAGAGAAAATTACTTTAAACCAACTAAGCTACTTCTTCTGTTCTTTCTCAATTCGTTAGTATACTGTGCGTTTTTGGATATTTTTTTACTAATTTTTTCTATGGAACTCTGGATTAATTGGATGGTGAAATATTATGTTAATAAAAGAATGAAGTGAAAATTGAAGGGTTTAGCTGTGGGGTAAGTGGCCTTTTGTTGGTTGTGAAGGAGGAAGCATATGTAGATGTATATTGTAGAGATTATACCAAATATGATGAAAAGGACAAGTTGCTCACATGAGCACTATAGGGACATAATATATGGCCCCCACGTAAGAGTAGTAAACCTCTCTCTCTATCTATCTACCTTTCACACTCTCTCTCTTTCTTTCACAATAAAACTGGGAGAGTTGCAACAAAATTATGCTTCTTTTCCTAGTTGTAATTAAAGAAAGCTTTTCTTCAGGTAACTAAACTATAACTCTTAGCCAAACAACACACTTGACTCATCTTCCCTCCCTCACTCATAACTATATGCTAATTTTTAGAGGTCCAAACTCTCAACTTGACCAACCTTTGAAATTCAATTCATGGCTTGGTTTTTTTGTTTAGGGTTTATATATATATTTATTGGAGCTAGCTAGCCTCATGCTCAATTATATCCACTCACTACTCTTGTAAATTTGCTTACAGTCTGCAATCTGGGTAAAATATCTTCCTCATTCTCTCTTTCTTGGCAACCTTCAATTCACCTCATTATTTTCCTTTTCATTTTTAACTCTCTCCACTTTTTCCATTCTTCTCAAATTTCCCTTTACTTTCATTATCTTCTTCTTCTTCTTCTTAATTCCATCTATATATTCATCTTTTTCTCATCAAAATTTCATCCATTCTTTCATTTATGTTTATTTAGTGAGATCCGTCCATTGGTATGAGCAGAAATCAAAGCAAAGTGAATTGATGGAAGAAGTGAAAGGCTACAGTTCTGATAGAGGTGAAGAAGAGGAAGAAGATGAAGGTGCAGAAGAGATGATGATCACAATTACAGGAGAAGAAAGCAACAACAGCAGTAAGTAGTAGCTGTACTCTCACTTTTAATTTCAATTTCATAATCTCCATGCAAATCTAGCTAGCTACTTTTTAATTAATTAATTAATTACATTCTCAAATAATTGATCAGCATCTTATTCTTATTTTGAAGTCATTTAATTTAATATAATAAAAATATATTGATAGATCCACATGAAATTCAATCCATGGTTGGAGATCTTGGTGCATGAATTAATGAATCAATGTATCATCTGGAGATGGATCTATGTACATGCAATGATGCAGTTACAGATTAATTAATTTGATCTACTTTGTTAGGGTTACAGAAGAAGAGGTGGGAATTGAATGAGAAGATCGAAGAGAGAAAGAAAGAAGAAGATTTGATGGAGTTGAGACTTGGAGGAAGTGGAAGTGGAAGCAAGAGCAAGAGCAAGGAAGAAGGAATAGAGAGTTCAAATTCAAAGAATGAGGAAGAGGTGGAAGAAGAAGTTGAGAAAGAGCACATGTTTGACAAAGTAGTGACACCGAGTGACGTAGGGAAGCTGAATCGACTTGTGATACCGAAGCAACACGCAGAGAAGTACTTCCTTTGGATTCTTCTACAAACGAGAAAGGGCTTCTTCTTAATTTCGAAGATCGGAATGGAAAAATGTGGCGATTTAGGTACTCGTATTGGAACAGTAGCCAGAGCTATGTGATGACAAAAGGATGGAGCCGTTTTGTTAAGGAGAAGAAGCTTGATGCAGGTGATATTGTTTCGTTTCACCGTGGCCGCGCTGAACTGTACAGACATAGATTGTACATAGATTATAGGCCAAGGTCTCATACTCACTCTCCTTACTCTCAGCATCACCACCCCCACCTCCTCATGCCGCAGTATCCTCCTAACATTTCCTCTTTGCCTTTTTATCTTCCCAATCATCACTTCTCATCATGCGGTGGTGTGGGTGTGGGTGCGGGTGCGGGTGCTAGATCATTGTACAACTCACCTCAATATTCACCCCACCTTCCCAACTACTCCTCGGCAGCAGCGGCGGCGGCCGCTTCTTCTCAATATTTCAACAACAATTTCTATACTACACTTCATCAACACCACCAACAGCAGTATCATTCTTCTGGTGCTGATCACCTTGTTAATAATAATATGAATCCTCTCTTTTACCTCACTTCCTCACCTATGACACCGCCGACATCAATAATGGGTGGTGGGGATCAACACTTGTCAGGGCCGGGGGCTGGGCAAGGTCAACAACAATATCAGAGAAATGCAAATGTGAACCTCCCCATGAATATGATAATCGATTCTGTTCCGGTTACACATCACCACCACCGCAGCGGGAATACCACCAGTAATAATAATAGCAGCGGAAAACGGCTGAGGCTATTTGGGGTCAACATGGAATGCGATTCTTCTTCTTCATCATCATCTTCAGCACCACCAAATTTGACAATGGCTAATCAATCACATTCACCCTCTTCAACACCACCATCCGGAGATCAGCACTTTGATTTGGAACCTTTCAATTATCGCCGCCACTGATCCATCCAGGAAGATAATATCATACCATATCACTTTGTTTTAAAGTCAGTTAGAGTTAGTTAGTTTCTCTGAGCCAGACTAGCTAACTTGCTATAAACTCCTTTTCCGCAATTTTATTTTATTTATTTACTTTTTTTCCTTCTTTTCAGTACAAATCTCATGGCAAGAGCCCCAAAACTTTCTCTTAATTAAATGTTATAAGTAATCATCTTTTGATAACTAGTTATTTAGTACTGTTTGAACTTGTTCATATCAAAAACTGCTTTGTCAAAGTGTTAATAAGCAAGGAGAAATCAAACTGATGAGAATGTTGAAGAATAAATAGTACTTACCTCTTCTACTATAAAATATAATATATTATTATTATTTTTGTATTGCATCAGTATACAACTAGAATACAAAAAAAAAATGGTGTTTCTCTCTCTCTCTCTCTCTATTTCTCTGTGATCCGTTAACTGCATTAAATGATACACAGAAACGATTGTTGGTTTCTATTATTTCCTCGATCGATCCATGTAATGTTTCAGTTAGCATTGTTGGGTTGATGTCGTTCACAACAACACTACTGCTGTTTCTGCTGCGCCTCTTTTTCGCTTTGCAGATTTTCCACCTGTCAACTAAATTAGTACTGGCTACTACCTACTATGCTCTTTTTTCTTTCTTGTTCTTAATTCAATTTCAACCTTCTTCCATTTATAATTAATATACATACACTTATATATATATATATATTATATATATACACAGTGCTGTATATCAAGTATCATTTATTGTTAATGACTTCTTTTTCTCTCTTAAAACTTTTTGTCTTCTCTCCTTTCAGCAGTCACCTTCTTGTCTGGATTGCCACTGCTCACAATGTGTAGGTGCATCTAGTAAGTATCTTAATTCTAGTTGCAGCCATTTCAATGCATTCTTTCTTTCTCATATATCTGATGCTAATTCTAGTGATACAATTTACTTGTCCCAGTCATATATGGAGATTTGAGGATCTATATTATTCCCCTTCATCTAGATTCTTCTTAATTGAAGGTTACATTCTGCATGTTAGTAATTGACAACTCATTGTTTTTTATTTTTTGTTGATGAAATGTTTACTACCCATTTTATAGACTTAATGTGATCATTTTAATAGTTGTAGCTAGCTAACACTTTTGGACATGCATATATAATTTAAAAAGTTTAATTTTTTGAGATATAGATCTGTTAATCTGATTAGTATCAACTAATTTAGTGCTGTGTAATTATTTTAACAGTAAGTTGCGAGCTTTTTCTTTTACTTTTAATATCAAAGAAGCATCTCTCCTCTAATGGTGGAATTTATTATAAGCAACTTAAATGGGTTTCACCATACCAATCACTTTGAAAAGCAAATCATTTTATTTGTTTCCTCCTGTATTTCAACTTTGAAGAATTTATGATTGTTTTATAACTTATTTCACATATTTAGTATTTTATATTATTTTAAAAAATTAAAAAACAACAAGGAAAAAAATAGTGAAGGACCATGAAGGACAAGGTAACAATTATGAAGGACCATTGCATTACTAAAAAACTTTCAATTTTGGAGAGTGTAACTTGGAGGACTACAATGGTACCATCTTTAAAAGACACGCTTTATTATGTCAAAAACTTGAAATAAATTATCATAATATTTATCACATTTTTTTATAAAAAAGTCCCAAAAAAATTGTTAATTATTCAATTTTTAATATAATTTTAAGTTTTTTTCCTTCAATTATAGTATCTAACTAATATGAGGTTCTTCACTATCAAATTACTATTTTCTATTTGGATTTATAAGAAATTAAACAAAGACATGTATTTGGACAAACAATATATATCAACTAATTCAGTAGTACTTAGGGTTTTTCAAATACAAACAGCAAATTGATTAAATAAATAAATAAATATAAAATAGAATATTATTGAATGTTATTTTATGATTAAAATCTAATAAAATTGAACAATGTGGATGAATAAGTTTGTTAGTCTATGTGGGTTTGTGTCCTTATCAACTCTATCTTGAGTGTTATCCTTGTATTTTATTTTTTAAGAAGTGGTCGGTTGTAATCTAGAGATGTGTGATAACCACATAATTTATCGTATTTTTTTACTCGAATTACTTACTGTTTGATGTTATTTTCTAGTTTTGTTGTAGTGTTATACTGATATATTATGCATGTTTTAAGTATTTTACAAGTAGGAGTTGGCACACGAGAAAACAATACGAAAAACAACATAAAATAGAGAAAATATAATGAAAAGACACCGGTGGTACCTCCATGGCGCTTGTCATGGTGATGACCATGACTATGCATCCATGAGACCAACGAAAGAAAGAAAACAAGACAAAAAATCAACACTCAGAATCCATGGCGCTCGCCATATAGGGGCATGGCACTTGCTATGGCCCCCAACCAAGCCATATTTTGCACTTTAGCCTCATGGGCCTTGCCATGAAGCTATGCCCTTGTCATTGGCATCAAAGACCTGAAAAATAGTAGAACCCTTGAATCAATTTCCTCCACTTTTCATATTTTTCTCCCACTTCTCCAACATGAATCTTAAACGTTTTTCCACAAGTTGGCCTCTATAAATAAGTCTAAGTTTTTGTATTTTTGGATTCAAGTCGTTAGAGTTTAATTTAGACTGAAATCTATGATTTTGTAAAGCAGTTAATTCTCACACCGAGGGATTTCTGCAAGTTAGAGCTAGATTTTGAAGATTTGCAAAAAAAATAATTGGATCATTTACGACGTAATCTTTCTGTCATAGTTTTCCAGAATTTATTTCAATAATTTTCAGTATGAATTACTAAACTTGCATTATTTTCAGTACGTATGACTATTAGAAAATTCGTTTTAGTGACCAAAAAATATTCGATCACGGTAAAGATCGAATTAGCCACCAAAATCTTTAAATTCATGAGTAAGCTTTAGGAAGTCGCTAAATCAGTTACATAAACAAATCAGCCATCGTTTTAGTGATCAAAATTTTATGACTACTTATTTAGTCTCTAAAAAATATTTTTATATAAAATTTATTTATATAAAAATATTTGAGACTCAAATTTCAGTCACTAATATTTTTTTTCTATTTTATAATTATCTTTATTATATTACTATTTCCCTTTAATTATTTTTTAAATATTTTAATTCTCTTTCAACTTTTAATTTTTAATAAAAATTTCATTTTTGTATGGTTTAAACAAATAAAACATATATTTATATAAAAAATAATATCATTTTACATAAAAGTAATTTTTATTTTTAACAATTTTTATATGTATTTAATTGAATTGCATAATAAAATTATATTTATATAGTGATTTTTTAAAATTTATTTAAAATTTTTATTACTTTGTTTATATATATATATATATATATATATATATATATATATATATATATATATATATATATATATATATATATATATATATATATATAATATATATATATATATATATATATATATATATATATATATATATATAGATTAGATTATTAAAAGTTAATAAATAGTGTAATGTTAAGACTTCATGAAAATATCTTGAAGTTCATGAGTTCAAGTGTGACAACTTTTTAATTTTTGTTAAAAATAGTCATTAAATTCATCGCTAAATCGGTCATTAAAACGATTTAATAATTAAATTTTAAATATTTTCGATCTCTAATTTATTTATTAAAAATAAATTTTTTATTAGTGTATATTTTTTATCTTTATATTTTATTGTCATTTTTAGATGATATTTCTTTTATCATATGCTTATTACTACTATTATATATTTAATATATTAAGTATGTTTGATTTAAGTATGGACTATATTTACAGTAACCTGTATATTGAAATCATGTCCGGCAAATTATTAAAGTCCAGAATGTGAGGACTGTAATTTCGTTGGTGCTCGCATCTAAGTCGTAAATTAGATATTTAATTTGGGATTCAATTTTGGACCTGAATTTTGATATTTACTTTATTATTAGAAATATTTACTGTACAAGCGTTGATTTAGTGATATCCGCATCAAGAGAGAAAAATTTGTATCTAAGTGATATCCACATCAAGAGAAAAAGAATTTATATCTGATTTAGAAAAATATTCAAATTTTGAATTAAGTTAAAACGTCACGGCAACACTTATTTTTAATTTATAAAAATAATTGTTTTCATAATACAATTTAAAAGAATAAATGTATTGCGTCAACATACATTTATGAGTTTAAATTTCAGTGGTACGCGAGCGACACCTAATAACATTTTTGGATTAATTTTTCATCCAAAATAACTTTTTAATTAATTAATTTTCAAAAACATGAATTTTATTCTTTAACACGCTTAATTAATTCTATACGAACTACATTTTTTTCTTTACACCAATTAATTTAAATTTCTAATTGGTTGTGGTGGAGGTGATGTATAGTGGTTGGAGGAGTTAAGCTCATTCTAAAATTATCCTTTTCTTTTAGAAATTTCTTTCATAATATGATTTCATACTAGAGTGAGCCCTGACTAAGAGAAGAGTTATAGTAGATTCGAACACTATTTCTTCAAGTTTGTTTGATACTCAGAAGAAATTTTACTCGTAGTTTTGCCTTAAATATTTCAGCTTTTAGGAGTGAGCTTTTAGTAAATTATTTCAGTTTAATTACGTATCGTGAGTTTTTTGAAAATTTATTTATTAAAAGTATAGAAGTTTGAATATAATTAAGACAAACATCATGCTTGATATTATGGAATAAATTAAATATCTATCATCAATTAAATTAATAGTATATCATTTTTATTATAATTGTTTTAAAATTAATATAAATTGATTACAAGTGAAAGAGTTTAGAAAAACTCCTATCAATAAACAAGCATTTATTACAAATAGACTATTCATGAATAGCATAAAAAGGAGCGATTAAACGGAATGTTAAGCAATGAAACAGCGATAATTAAAAGTAAAAAGCAATATAGTAATAGTAATAGTATATAGAAGAGTGTAAGATCTAC